AATAAAAATGCATCAATATTGACGTTTAACGTATCAAAAGTTTCGTATTTAAAAACTCTATCGAATGCCGTCTGGTGATTTTAAAAACACATCATGGCGGTTCCAATATGACGTCTGCAATCATGGAAAAATCTGTTTAATGAGCAATACTGATAGATAAGAAACATAAAAATACTGTATTGTAGACTGAATCACCATATCTATACGTTTTTGGGGTTGCAGATTGCGAATTCAATATTCGTTAAACCCCATCTGGTCACTGTTCGTTCCTAACCTTAAAAATACTTAAAATCGTTGGAATAATACATTTCTACGATGAGTAACACAGTCTAACCACCACAATCTATGTTTTCGAAATCGCTGAAACCAATTCTGATATCAATATAACTTCTACTAGTCAGAGTTCGTGCCTAACCTCAAAAAAGTAGCGCAAATTGTTAAGATTACACTTTTCTACGTTTAGGAATGAAGTGTAACCATCATATCTTTATATTTTTAGGGTCACTGAATCTAATTCCTACATCCGTTTAATGAGCAATATTGATAGATAAGAAATATAAAAATACTGTATTGTAGACTGAATCACCATATCTATATGTTTTTGGGGTTGCTGATTTCGAATTCAATATTCGTTAAACCCCATCTGGTCAGTGTTCGTCCCTAACCTTAAAAATACTTAAAATCGTTGAAATAATACGTTTCTACGATGAGTAACACAGTCTAACCACCACAATTTATGTTTTCGGGATCGCTGAAACCAATTCTGATATCAATATAACTTCAACTAGTCAGAGTTCGTGGCCTAACCTCAAAAAAGTAGCGCAAATTGCTAAAATTGCACTTTTCTACGTTTAGGAATGAAGTGTAACAAACATATCTTTATTTTTGGGGTCACTGAATCAAATTCCTACATCCGTTTGAACCCAACTAGTCACTAGTCGTACCTAACCTAAAAAATATTCAAAATCACTAAAATGACACTTTTTCTGGTTGAGTTATCAAGTCTGATCACAATATCACCAAAATCACTTATAATCTATTACAGGTAAAGAAATTAAAGTTGATTATTATATCCGATTGATCTGTTATTTACAAAAGTTACCCCAAAGCCGTATCACTTCTCTAACCCTCTCGTGGTAGTTCCAATATGGCGCTTGAAGATACACATAAAAAACACAAAATATTGGATAGCATCCCTCAACGCTACTATCTTTCAAAAAGTCTCTGGGCGCTGACACTTTGATTAGGGTTTTGATCAAATCATTTTAATTGGATTATTATTCATCAGGTGTTCCTTCCGTAGTTGCCGTTGAGTGAGGAGTCTCGAGTGTGACTGTTGCTTTCTTTCTTTGTGAGTTGAGGTTCTTTCGTTGAGGGATTGGAATCCGCCGCTACCAGTTAGATTTTTCTTGTTCTGGTACCGTTGACGAATCCTTGCCGACTGCGCCAATTTTTAGATCACTCACATCACTTTTAACTTTTTAAAAAATTTTATTTTTCACTTAAATTATNTAAAATTTGTCAATTGTAAAAAAAAATTTTATATGTGTAATATATTTGTAAATTCGTATTAAAAGCTATATTTTTCATTTCATAGTAATATCAAAATAAGTAACAAAGTGAAACACACCCTGAGTAAGAAACTGAGCTAGATATTTATATTATTAAGACTAGATCTTAATTGGCGCCTGGGCATAACAAAAATTTGAAATCTAAATCTATAAAATTAAAAAATCAACAAACTATAACAAATTTGGCGCCCAACGTGGGGCACTGAAAAAATAAAGCTCTGCAAACTAAAACAAGGCAAAATAAAATAAAGCCATAGCAAAACAAAGCACTGTTTGTAATTTTCATCTTTTGCTTTTAAATCTTGTGCATCAATTTAACATACTAGTAGTGTAAACATATCGTTTTTTATACTAAAAATTTTATGGAATTGAGGTCGGGAAATATAAAGATGTTTTCTGAATCTGAGCCAGATATTTGTACTGAGGGGGAGAGAAATACCGACATGGACCATACGACAGAAACACAATCTCAGTCCGACACTGCATCTATCCCTACAATTACACATACACAGACCGACAGAATACAAGACGTTACACAGACAAGTACACAACAAGATATCATGGCAATGTTAGGCGGAATAGTGGGAAAGTTAGATAAAATGGAAGAGTCTAGCAAAGGGCTAGAAAAGAAAATAGATGACACAAATAAAAAAATAGAAGAGTCAAAAAAAGAAATGGTAGAGTCTAGCAAGGGACTAGAAAAGAAAATAGATGACACAAATGGAAAAATAGAAGAGTCTAGCAAGGGACTAGAGAAGAAAATAGATGAAGTTCATCAAGAATTCAAGAGAGACATGGAGAAGATGAGAATGGAAATGAGAGAAGAGGCAAAGGTGATGGAAACAACATTAAAAGAGGAAATTAGTCAAACAAGTAAGAACTTAGACAAGAAAATTGAAGAAAACAGAATAACGTCAGAAAGGAAAATAAACAAAATAGATGAAGAAAGTAAGCAACTAAAAGAGGCATTTATTCAAGAAAAAGCACTAACACAACTAAAATGGCAAAATGAAGAAGAAAAGGACAGATTATGGGAGACAACTAAAAGAACAGGAAAGGAAGCTAGAAAAAAGGATAGAAAGGGAAACAAGAGGCATGGTTTGCAATAACAGGATTGACACAAATATAAACTGGACGACTGAATTAATATTTTATGGGGACGCAAGAATACACCCAGCAGTATTTATAAAAAGACTAAGGACATATCTCGAAATGTTACCATCTGACATAAATATGAAAAATTTAATTGGCAACATGATGAGAGGAGACGCTGACATATGGTACCAGTTAATAGAAGAAAAATATGAGACATTTGAAGAATTTGAAGAATTATTTCTGAAGAAATATTGGGGGGAATATCACCAGCAGAAAGTAAGAATGAGCCTATTCAATAGGAAGTATAATGAAAAATTTGGAAACTCAAGAGAAAGGTACTTGATGAGAAAAATATATAATGTGAAACACCTGGAACCGAAGTTCACAGAAGCGGAAATAGTGAAAATGTTAGCAAGACACTTTGATGAAGACATCTATAAGGTCATAATAACCCAGAGGATAACAACCATAGATGCCCTCATTGATTACGTCAGAAGTATTGATGAATACCTAACGGGATGGAGGAAAAATGATTATCAACAAGGAAACTATGCAAGGAATGGTAATGGAAATCAAGGAAGAAGACAACAAGCATATCGAAACAATAATGAAAGAAGAGATGGAGAAAATAGAGAAAACAGATATGGAAACAATCAAACGAATGGAAATTTTGGCAATCGTTTCAACAGGTTTGAAAGAAGACAGGACAACATAACGCAAGAGACACCAAACAGACGAACTAACACATACGCTAACACAGTTACCACACAATCTAATACACAAACAAGACCCAACGTACAAAATGACATTCACTCCATACAAACTGTAGCGGAAATACACTCGACAGAAAACAAAAATTTTCGACAAAGAGAAGTTTAAATACATCTTACCAGCATATGAGGGAATTCATTAATTTAGACAACTGCGATGAAAATGATATGAATATTGTACAAAATAATTTACCATTTATTGAATTAAAAATTGAAAATGAAAAATTTAAAGCTTTAATTGATACTGGGGCTGAGATTAGCTTAATACATGAAAAATTAATCAATAATCAATTAAGTACATTCAAAAACAATATTATTAAAGTTAAAAAGATAAAATTAATGAATGCAGCTGGAAAGAAATTGGCTGAAAGCACTCGTGTGATTAATATGGAATTTAAACTTCTCGAAAAAACAATACACTCGGAATTTTTGATTGTACAGAACATGGATTTTGACATAATATTAGGGGAAGACATGTTGACAAAATATGGGGCTAAGATAGATTTAGAGGACAAGACATTTGAAATACAAAATGAAAAAGTAAACATAATATTTACAAATTTTGAGAAAAACAATGAGTTAATAAATGCTACGTGCAGAATAAATAATAATAAATTTGACAAGGTAGAAAGTAGTGGTGAAAGCAACAATAAGTTAAATAAAAATGCATGCAAATTAAATAACAATACGTGTTTTGAAAATATAAAGTTTAATTGTAAAAAAAAATACAAATATCGTACAAAATTTAATAAAAAACAATATAAATTTAGTAAATCGTGAACCAAGATATGCAACTGGCAATACTCCTAAAATTAATTTAGATAAAATTAAAACAATTAAACATAAAATTCATCCAATCTCATTAAAGCATAGGCAAACTGTACAAAACGTGGTACAAACTATGTTTGAGGTAGAACCAGTTGATTCTGATAACTACAGAGACAACAATCCATTAATATCTGAAAAAAGACAAAAGCCGAAGGTGAAAATTAAAAATTAAATAAAGTTAACGTTAGGTAGTTTTAATAAGTTAAGTTTGTTATTGTATTTTGAAGTTAATGTTGTTAATATAGTTGTAAATTAATGAAAATTTCTTTGATAAAATTTTAATTAATTTAGGGGGGAAAATGTTATGATATAACGAGAACCAAGTACATGAAAATTACAAAATTAAAATGTTGAGAGATAAAACTCTAACAACAGGGATGTGTCACACGAGATAATTATGAAAGGAGAAATATAGTTTAGTACATAGTATGAGTTTTTATACACAAAAATGCAAAGATCGCTACCTGAGAATATCTATATGTCAAAATATAAGTTAAGATAGAAAATTTTCAATTAAAAACACTTAACAAAGGCTCGAAAATATACTAGAAAATTAAAATGTAGTACCCAATATAATTCTATAAAGATTTTAACCAGACAGAAGTACCGGTTTAGGGAAATTCAAATAAATAATATTTTGACAGCTGGACTTTTCGGAGAACAAATTAACGTTACACTTATAAATAGAAATATTGTATTCAAATAAGACTATAAGTAAAGTTTAGCATACCTTTCATTGATATTTATGAGTGGAATCAAAATTAAAGTTCTATATATGATTCTGATAGCGATTCTTGAAATGTCAAACTTTGATGTGATAGTATGTAAGAATTTATTGTATAAATGATATTTTTCATGTGTAAAAGGACTTGTATTGTGTTTATGAGACTTTCTGTACATCCAAGACTGTATTTGCATACAGATATTCATATCACATAGTGTAGAAAACATTACGGAATGTCAAAGAACGGTGTACCTGAAAAATTTCATTATTAGACGATTTGTATAACATAAAACTGTATAAAATAGTGAAAGTAATGTTAAAGAAGTGTTAAGAAACAAGACTAGTGGCATGTAATTAAGTTGAATAACATATTTTGCATAAATTTTGATAAAATAGCTAAAATCTGTAATAACCTCAAATGTCATCGTAATATAAAGAATTAGATATCAAAATTTTCAGAAAAATGTGTAGAAGTCAAATACATCAGTGTCATGTTGTATAGTACACGCATAAAGGCACTATTTTGAAGTAAAAATTTCATGAAATTCCAAATTTATATCTCCATGACAACCTAGTGTTTTGTTTTTCATTTATAAAAACTAGTGTACGGCTTCTAGGTAGCCAGTCTTCCATAATTCATCGAACAGTTCACGTCATTCATTCTCCTGAAAAAACAAAAGAAAGTTCAAAAAGTAAATAATTAAATAAGTTGTTACCTGGCATAAGTGAGGTTACAGAAGTTTGACAACCGTCAGAGGTTAAGAAAATTTCCACCAGTTCAAAATTCTCAATTGTACAAATATTCACTTAAGTTTATGTGATGAGAATTAGATATCATTGTTACAAAAAGTGTAAGAAATAAATTTTCAACAAGGCGTTTGTGAAGTGCTACGAAAAAGTGCTCCGATAACCTACCAGTGGAAAAAC